GGTTTAGGGTTTAGGGTCTATGGATTTAGGGTGTAGGGATTAGGGTTTGGGGGGTTAAGAGGTTCAGGGGTTTAGGCGTGGAACCGTCCGTTTACAGGGATCAATAGCGAGCCCTTTCGGAGTGGATTGCGGGGGTTTGCGATGCAAAGAGTGCTCCAAGACTGGAGTGTAGGACAGAGACCCAGGTGAGCGGGTGTAAAGGCCATGGCAGAATTTGCATGTGCGCTTATGTGTGCTGCGACATTCATGACGATTGTGCAATAATACATCCCTCAGCATGTCTTCTTAGTTGTGCAGCATCGATCTCTGCTTGGAAAAACGCCAACGACGCAACATCAACCAAACGCACGGTTGCTGGTTGACAGTGCGGCATTGGTATTGATACGACATGGATATAATATAATCGCCTAGGCCTGTCAGGGGGTTTATGCTGCTGGGGTCTTGTCATTGCAGGCATCGCGAGCTGCTGATTGAGTTTTCGGGGGGTCGGGCTTCGCAGCGAGGAGCCTTGTAAATCCTGCCGACTGCAGCATCAAAACTGCCTTCGCCATCTGTCTCCAGGAACAGGAAGGTGCCTCGGGACGAACGACCACCAATTGGAGTCTGAGAAGAAGTACCCAACGAAAGTCTTAGAAACCCTCGAGCGTAAGATTTTGGAGTAATTGCTTCGGGGGGTTGTGCCATGCGACACCTCTGTAGAGATAGGAATTAAAGGCTGCTTCGAATTGTGCAGGATCTCACGTGCAGAGCCTTCATGGCCGTCTTGCAGACAAGGTGCCATTCCCTATCGATGCCACGTCCCGAAGCTCCACCAAAGCGTCCGGGTCCTGCGACAGGATTCGGGATGAGCCTTTGGGGTTTGAGGCCAACTCGGATCTTTCGTGTCCCTTCTTCGGGCAGTATGCGAGACAAGGCTATCATGTTCTCACTACTTCTTCTACATTGTACATCTCAAACGGACAGAGCCATGCTGGAAGCCGAAGGCGTTGACCCCACACCTAGCACAACAACAGAAGCTGGTGTCCTGCGACTCCCTGGCATCCACCGTGTAGCTGAAGTTGCTCAAGCCACAGGCGGGCTGCAGATCGCACAGCTGCACAAAGCCGCTGGTGTCCGTAAGGATTAGGCCGAGACTCGGATCGTAGGCCACGCCACTGAGGCTGCCGATGACTTGGACCTCTAAGGAGGCCTGAAGTACGCCAGAGGTGCTGAGAAGATGGAGACGCCCTGACTTCTCGACAATCGCGAAGCCTGAAGGGATGCGCTCGATCCCCTGAGACTGCAACCCCTCCACCAAGCTGCCATTCGGGTATGTCACGGCGATGGTTTCTGTGACAAGTGGAGGCTGCTGCTGACTGTCAATGACCAGAATTTGAGTTTGCACCTCCAGTTCGTCACCCTCGATGCCATACAGCGTGCCGTCTTCCTCACCCGTTAGGCCGGCCACCGACGTCCATGGAATGGGCGTGCCATCTCCTGCGTCCCTGGACTCCAGGAAAGGAAACTGCCTAGGCCAGCGTGAACATTGATACAAGTCCAAGCCTGCTTTTTGGTCGCCGAAAACAGACCCTTCCGACATTGATACATAGAGATGGCGGTCGGGCACGACCAGCCCTTGCACAGGCCTTCTGATGGCTGGCAGCGCCTGCAAGAATTCGGGCTTAGAAGGGTCCGAGACCTCGAAGACAAAGGTGAGGCTTGCTCTGATACACGAGACGAAGAGCATCTGGCAACCATCGACGGTGCCGAACTGCACATTCCGCACGTCAATGCTGGTTTCATCGTTGGCTGACTCAGGATAGTGGCCAAGAGAAACCTGCGTGTCCAGCCTCCTACCGGGGGTTTAGGGTTTAGGGTTTAGGGTTTAGGGTTTAGGGTTCGAGTGTCCAATTGCACTACGTTCAGGGGTTACTGCTACCCCGAATGCTAAAGCCTAAACCTTGAAACCCTCAAAAATGACAGACAAGCCTTGCTTCATGACTCTTTTGCCAGGAAACAGCCAAGTGGCTTATAGGGTTTAGGGTTTTCAAGTTAGGGCTTATAGGGTTTAGGGTTTAGGGTTCCATGGTCAAAGCTTTCTAGCTTCATGACTCTTTTCCCAGAGGCTCCATGCACTTTTATAGCAGATACTTGAGCCTTAAAGGGGTCCCTATATAGGTACTTTAGGGTCGAAGTATATACTATATGGGCACATGGAGCCTTAGGGCTTTTGCCAGGAAACAGCCAAGTGGTTTATAGGGTTTAGGGTTTTCAAGTTAGGGCTTATAGGGTTTGGGGTTTAGGGTTCCATGGTCAAAGCTTTCTAGCTTCAGAAAGAAACGGCCAAGTGCTCCAGCTGATTCCCCGAGTTGAAGATAAGCTCTCCACTCTGGTTGAAGATACTGAAGCTTCCTTGGTTTCGGGCTTAGGGCTTGGAGGCACGAAACTCCCCCACATAGGCATCAGAGAATCCCTGATTGAGTTTAGGGATTAGGGCTTAGACCCTAAATCCTAAACCCTAAACCCTAAACCCTAAAACGAAGGAGCTGGGGTACCGGTGAGCCAAGGGTCGGCTGCGTCTGTCCGCCGTAGCAAAGAAGGTGGAATCACCAAGCCAAGCGACCCCGTATGGCTCCCGCTGAAGATCCGTGAGGCTGGAGTTCAAGTTGATGCAGCCGTCCTTCCGGGGTTTAGGGTTTAGGGTTTAGGGTTTAGGGTTTAGGGTTTATGCGCCGGAGGGTGCTATGCAGAGTTGTTCGGAGCTTGTTCAGCGAGTTTGCAAGTTGCTTGGTTGTGCTGCCCCTTTTAGTTTGTTCATCTAGTTGATTGACTAGAGGATACCTAGCAAAAGCAAGCCCTTGCTGGAGAATGTAGGTAGTACGGATTGTCCGGAATCGTGTCGATGCCAGTGAGGTTAACTTCGCCGGCAGAGAACCTGTCTAGGATCGTGGCATCCGTCAGGTTCAGTATGATCACCGAATTGCTCCGCAGGGTCATTACTGCGATGTTGTCTGCCCGAATTTCAACCTTGCCACCGTCGAATGTAATGTTCGTAATGTCGCTGATTACCTGCGTTGTCCAGGCCACTGGGTCCGAGTCAGAGATGTTCACCTGGACCATGTAGCTACCCTGAGTCGCAATGGCCGCAATCGTTCTGTCTGGGCTGATAGTAATGTCAGATACCCTTGCTCCTAAGTTGAAGGTGCGCACGGATGTTTGAGACGTGATGTTCATCACGATCAGCTGATCGCGGCGGCCGGCTAAAGCAAACAGATCGTCCTTGACTGCCACATCGTTGGGACCCCAAACGCTGGTGCTCAAGCCCGTTGCAGCGGGGCAGTACGGGTCGGTAATGTCGGCGAAGCCGATCTGTGAGGCATCGTGGTAGACTAGAGTGCGCTGATCTGGTGCTATGTCGAAGGCAAACTTCTCGTCACCACGGCTGTCAATCTGAAAGCAAGTGGGGTCCTCCTGCGTGCAAAATGCGAAGAACCCGATGCGGTTGAAGATGCAACACTTCCCAGGTTCGGGAGCCGGACCCGGTGGTTCGGGAGACGGAGCCGGTGTCGTGGGTGGTTGGGACCACTTTTGGCGAGGGTAAAAGCCGTGGCGGCCTCTTCTCTGACGCCGAAAGATGCGGCGACCCGGTTGACGAGGCCGGTTGCGGGCGGGGACCGGGCCGGGATGCTTCACCTGAGCTTCAGGTGATTCGAAACACAGCCAGAATCATGAAGCTGATGACTCTAAACCCTAAACCCTAGATGTATGCTATTATCTGGACCCGACCTCCTAGGCCGGCACCCTGAACCCCTGACCCTCACGTCCGATACCCTAAGCCCTCAGCACTGGAGATCTGGCAGTTTTAGAAAACGGGGGACCCAGGGTTTAGGGTTTCGGGTT